TCAAAACATAGAAACGTTCCGTTCCACACAGTTTGTCAACCTTCTTTCTTCCTTCTCATTTACTGTAAACTCGCCAGATCTGAGGGAGAAGGTCAAATTTACGCAAAATTGCTGGTGCCACTTTGTGATCTCGTAACTCCTTCATTTATTATTTTATGCAAAAGTATGAGAACAGTGTCCGAATTTAATGAATTTGAGCCGCGTTTTAAATCCGCCAAAAACCGGTTTCAATTGAGCGCCGGCTTAAATCTTGAAATATTGAATACAATTTTAAGTGAAACCTACCATATTTGAGCCGCGACTTAAATTTAAGCCGCCGCTCAAATTCATTAAATTCGGCCTCAGTTTATGTAGTTACATACTAGAAATTCAACACCTATTTTTTCCTCTCAAAAGTTCTTCAATAAGAGGGGTTAATATTTCAATCTAAGTCCAATTTACTTTCAGTTTGACGTGCATAGAAAAGTATTAAATTGTCCTCCTGCAACTGAATGTAGTGTATAAATATATTTAAATTGTCCTCCTAAAACTGAATGTAGTGTATAAATATATATAAATTGTCCTCCTGCAACTGAATGTAGTGTATAAATATATATAAATTGTCCTCCTGCAACTGAATGTAGTGTATAAATATATATAAATTGTCCTCCTGNTCCCATTCTATCTGTGAACCAACACAACAAGTACATTTATATTAGCACTAAATAGGGACTTTTTGGGGTTCAACTTTTAAATGAATGCCTTAATAAAAAATGGCAAGAGGTTATGATTTTGTTAAGATTTTTTACGTACTCCAGCATTTTCAATCAAAACTTTTGCCATATTTAATCCTTTCTTTGTTTTCAAGAAAATGCATAATTTTTTCCAATTTTTAAAGGAACCGTTCACTTATTTGGGTAATTTCAGGGTAAACTAATCAGCCTATTTGCTGTTGCTTGGTATTAGTCTTACTTTGACCGGAGAAAAAGCCAAATTTTTCGTTCAGAATTCGAGCGGAAAGGTTTGGTACCTCTCTATAGACACTATTTGATGTTTTTTCAGTAACATCAGCCCAATAAAGTTTAAATTTATCATATTTTAATTTCAATATGTGGTCGTTTTTATGTACTAAAATATGAAAACTTTTGATATTTGAGTTAGCAAGAAATTTACGTTACCCGATAGTGTTAACCTTTGATATTTCAAACCTAGATTTGTTCTAACAGAATTCATAATTTGAAATATCCAAGGTCTACACATTGGGTTTCGAAGTATAGGGGAAAGAAAACCAAAGTTTGTGACAAAGACTCAGAATTTCAAATTTAGCAAGATTTCCCTACAGATGAATACTCCAAAAACATTGATGTCTCAATCCGTCCGAACCCTGTCTTCATTCATATAGGATGAGATAGTTCCAAGAATCCCGTGATATATTAAAGAACTTGAAAGAATTGCAATATATATTCCTCTAATTTCAGGAAATTCCATTTGTTTCTTACCGCCGGTTTGATCCTTGATAGAGAGGAGAGGCAAGAACTGATCCAATATGGTTTTTCTCCAGGTTCAATCATACACCGGCCTCTTATATACACACTGGATAAGGAGCAGGTGTAATATTAGACTAGTTTTTATACATTGCAATCTAGAACTTTAGAAAGAAAAAAAACGTTCAAGGAATTTCTTTGAGCTTATTTAATTTGGAAATATTCAAGACTTTGCTAATTAAAGAAAGAACACCAGAAAATCTACGCAAGTTCTAAGCAATTTGTAACAAATGTCGTCTTCTCTAATAAATAAATACATTTTTTCGCTGTTGACGCTTCATATACATAAAGCATCTTTGGAAATATTTATCAAGAATTTTTGAAAAATATTAGTATCAGTATATACGTATATGGTTAATTTTTACAAGAAAACTCCAAAACTGTCAAACAATTACACTTGATAAATAATCTATTTTGATCGCTACTAATCTTACTTCTATCTGTTGCGTCGATAAGGAGAAAATTGTTAAAATCGACTTATAGGAACGTAGAGACCATACAAATTCAGAAAATTGCAATATACGACTCGGATCGTAAAAAAATCAATTTAATTTCAAACATATCATTCACATGTTACAACCTACAACAATCAATTATTTTTCGACGCATTCGTATATAGTTAATATTTCATAATATTTTGTATTCGTTTTGTATACAATGCACTTAAAACGCCGAAATAGTTGACCGCCAGATGTCTCTGTTCTAGATGCTTTGAATGATTACATGTGGCACGCGAAGGTCTTATTTTAATGTTAATGGATAGCTGAGACAGGAGCCTGAACTCTGAACATCAACGGTTTACCCAACTTATAGTTTTGTTTTGTCAAAGATATTTTACTGGTTTAACTCTATGAAAAATGAGTCACAACATATCTCAAGGATCGAGCTTAGCTTAAACGTGAGCCTAATTTTAGTGTCAATAGCAGCTTAGACTTGAGCATGATTTTAGTGTCAATGCCAGCATAGACTTGAGACTAATTTTCCCCGAATCATTTGAATCGCGGCCTCAGGGCTTATAAAAGAGACGATTCCTAATCTGTGTCTGCTTTTTCTTCATTAAATCTTTTGATCCACGTTTGTTTCATATAATACATGTAATATATATATAATATACCTTCTTCTCATGCGTCTTTTTTATATTTGATACTTCCTGTGTCCCCAGTCCCCCCTTTTAATCCTCCCCCCCTAAGGATAGTTTTAGGAAGTTTAGACATCAATTAAATCTAAACAACATGAAATTAAAAACGAGATACTTAAAATATCATATTTTAAAAGATTTTAAGACAAAAGCATTTAATATTCGTATAGACGAAAAATCAGGAAAAAATCGCACAACATGGGGTTTAGGGTATAGACTTTTTGTTCTAATGATGGAATTAATCATATTATATTTATTTTACAAAACAATGAATTACGGAACGGATGAATTGTTCCAAAAAGTTAACCATTTTTGGTGTAACTAGTCTTTTTTGTATCACATACAGGGTTACCCTTAAAGGATGAGACTTCAGAGACGACTGTTCAGAATTAACACTGTATGTTTCCGTTTCTTTCTTTTCCCTACATTATAGAAAGGCGACAAAAATACTGTAGCAGAGGACTTTATTTATTCTTATAGAGCTTTGATCTTGAAAAATAATTTTGTGAGGAACCAAGATATCTTTAATTAATATAATGCCTTGTAATCTAACACCTTATCTTAAAAAATTCATGAATCACTTCTCAACACCTTAGTATTGACTAATACTTTCAAATACTTGTGTAATGCATATCTACTTTAAGAGTTAATAAAATGTTTTTTCAATATGCAATAAATATTCAATATCCAACGCAATGTGTGTATATCAATATATCAAATAATCTTAAAACTAATATTGCAAATTTTATGTGGGGGGGGGGGGGAGAAGTAAATCGTCAAAAGCATTTTTTCTCAAGTCTCAGTTCTCTTTGCCTAATCGGCACTTATTTTGTTTAGATTCCGCCCAGAAACTACAGTACACTTGTTTTTAAACATAAATATGGAGGACAAATTTAACGTTACGTTTTTCTGTTGTCTTTTATATGAAGCATATGTTGATTGCTGACGAAGTTTCGTGATTTTAATATATATTAGATTCATTCCCAACATAGAAACTACAAACATTCAAAACATTATGTCTTACCAAAACATTTAAATTGGTAAATTTCTTGTACACTGTACAGCATGTTTTGTACTGTACGTAAGGGTTACCCACAAAAAAATTAGACTTTAACGATGATAGAAAGGTTTCTTTTTAAAGTTCTGCCTTCAAATAGCTTTTTAATGGCATAACGATTTTTTTATGAAGAAATACATATTTTTGGAGAGGGGGGGGTCCAACTGCAAGAGAGGGGAGGGGGGCATCCAAAAATCGTTCTCTAGGACAGACCCAACAAATTCTGTAGAGTCATCTTTGAAGTCTCATTATTTTTGGGTAACCCTGTAAGTACAGATTCAGAATAAGAGTTTAATGACTATAAATCATACACTTATTTAAATTGCTGCTTTGGAATAGTTCCCATGTCATATGATCGTGTAAAACTCTTAATTGGGATTTTTAACATTATAGAATCTTTCCAAAAGCGTGTTAATAAGCTAATATAAAAGATTTAACGCAGAAAAAAAAGGGTTCTTTGGGAGCGTAAGTTGATAGGATGGGTGTTCTGTATCTATATACAAAGGAATTGTGTTTTGTCACAAACTCAAATTTTATCACTATATATTTGCAACCTGATTATGTAAACCTTTGATATTTCAAAATTACATTATTTGATCTAATAGAACTTATAGCTTGAAATATCTAAAGTCTACGACATTGGGTTAAAAAGTTATAGAGATTTTAAATTAGAGGTGTAGTTATAATTTTACAGAAATCTTTTTCCCCATTATTGCGATTAAAATGTTACTTATTTAAATTCCTAACATAGCATTTCAACCAATTATTAAAAGTTCATACGAAAATGGTGAAGTTAATACATCAAATAAGTAATTCTGGATATTATTATTTAGAGTATAACATAATTAGAAACTGCAATGTTTCAGCATACTTTTAAAATCATTTTCCATTTTTATAAAGTCTAGAATCAAATTTAATTATTTAACAGCGCAGTCAACTTTTAAAACTGTGACTTATAGGGTTTTGTTACCGAATACAAAAGGTTGAGAGGGGGGGAGGGGGAGAACCACCTATGCGTGAATTTTTCTAAATATCAAACTGATATTTTAACTATTTTAGTTAAAACCAAATTTAATTTTTTTCTCTTCAAAGCGATTAATGATTCTAAGTTTTTTAACCAAAAACTTTTAATTATTTTGTGTTAAAAGATATATATATTTTTTTGAGGCCATCCTTTCTGAATCAATGGTTCAAATTTGAACCGGCAGCAAGTTTTGACACTTGACAATAAAACAATAAAACAATAAATAAACTGTATCACAGAAAATGAAGGCCCAATCGGTTTGGACTTATTGAAGTTTATTAGTAACAGACAAAACAGCAAAGTCGTAAACAGGGTTCCCCGTAAAGGACGACCTGAATATTTTTTAAATATTAATTTAAAAATTATTCTGAGGTTTAATCACAAAATATGTTTTTTTTTGGTAAATCAGTTTTAGGAACAAGTTCTAATAAATTCTGTAAATTCCTCTCTAAAGTCTCTTCCTTTGTGGGTAACCCTTATATCGGTTAATGTACAATATTCTCCAAAAGTATTTACATTTTTTAACGTCAATGAAGGATAATTTTCATATAGAAAATAAATATTTCATGATTTTTCTAAACCAGGACATTTGGGGTTGTTAATGGGTTAAACTTTAACAAAGTTTTGCTTAGAGCGTATAAATTGTGTTACGTATTATCAAAATATTTGATTGAAAAATTTATATACAAAATAATTAAAATACTGATAGGTTTGACAGTAATTGAATTTTTCTTGTGAACAAGTTCAAATTTTCTGGTCTGAAAGCTTCAAATGTGATTTTGTTTCAGAGAAAATGTTTAACCTTTACCAACGAACCTTAAATTTAAATTTATATTGTAGATTGTGTATATTGTAGACTACAAATAAATTATATTGTTTTAGCATTTTTGTACATTTTTTTCTTTAAAATCTTGAATTGATACAACTGTATGCTGTTTTCTGTAGCATTCGTTAGTGGGCGTTCCCCACTCCTCGCCACACCTTTTACACACCTAGAAAGTGTATGGATGGTACATTTAACAGTGCAGTGCAATGCAGTACAGTGAAGTGCAGGACAGTGCATTACAGTACAGTCAAGTATTATACAATCGGGTAAAGTGCAGTACAGTACATTACAGTACAGTACAGTGCAGTACATTATAGTACAGTACAGTGCAGTACATTACAGTACAGTACATTGCAGTACATTACAATACAGTACAGTGCAGAAAAGTCGGATAAAGTGCAGAACAGTAAGGCAGTGCAGTACAGTACAGGCAGTGCAGTACAGTACAGTGAATTACAGTACAGTACAGTACAGTGCAGGACATTGCAGTACAGTGCAGAACAGTGCAGAACAGTGCAGAACAGTGCTGTACATTTCAGTGCAGTACAGTGTAGTCCAGAACAGTGTAGTGCAGTACAGTAGTACAGTGCAGTGCAGTACAGTGCAGTGCAGTACAGTGCAGTGCAGTACAGTGCAGTGCAGTACAGTACAATGTAGTACAGTACAGTTCATAGTACAGCAAAATTTAGTTAAGTACAGTTGTCAGTACACTGCATTTAACAGTAAAGTACTTTTGAGTGATTGAAAAGAAAATATTTTTAGATTGAAAAAACAGGGATGACTTTATTTTTATTGTTTTCGTTTAGACAAAGGTTTAAAGGGTATCATTGTGAATCTGACATTAAGCTAAAAACTGTTGAAACTTTACCTTGATACATCCCTGGCTTACAGAATCCTGGTTACAGCAGGGAAATCTGAAAACTGTATTTTTAACAAAAGTATTAAATTTAGATATTAAATATTTTTTAAATCTAGATAAACCTTGTGATACAACCGGCAGCAGCGCTTTCTATCGGCATTTCACAACAACCAAACTAAAAAGTGTATCCCGTATTAACTGTTCTGTATTCTGTATCCTGTATCAAGTATCAAGTATAATATGGCCTGTATCCTGTATTGCAGAGATATTAAGAATTTTGTTTTAATTTCAATTTGTCTGGGCTATTTTGTGGTTATTGTAACATTGTTTCATATATAAAATAGAAAATATGTCTAAAATTAGGTTACATATGAATGATGAATGCCGTAAACTCATAGAGAATAGAATATATAGAGAGGAATTAAAAGAATCTCTCGGTATGAATTTGTTCAGTCCCTTTCAGCCTGAAAGGGAGTTCAAAGTGTACAAATCATGTAAATGTTCACAAATTATATGCAGTATTAGAGTACATTAATACAGTATGTACCCTAGACTATTCATTTCAATTTCGAATTTTTTAAACTGTTAAATAAACTTTATAATGAATTAGGTGAATAAAAACATCATTTGATTTATAGTTATAACGGAAAATCATCGTTTGTAAAGTGGAAGGCATAGAGTCTATGTGAAATGATCATTGGTCAATTATGAAACCAGCCTATTTCATAATTTGGTTGGTCTTTTAACAATAATTTTAGATTTTCTATATAATGATATTCCAGGGCCCAATAGGTTATATAGCATAAATATGTGAAGTACACCTGCAGTTTGGAAACAGTACAACAAAATGGCCGTTTTACACTTTTTTCCAGTAAATTCCTCTCTATATATTCTATTCTCTATGCGTAAACTATTTCTAAGGCCAAAGTCGACTTGTCAATAGTATTCCGGTTTATTTAGAATAGCACTGTATGATGTATTCTAACCTTTTTTTTGCATCCTTGAGACGTTGTAGAATTCCTACAGCAAACCAACACTTGTCTACAACCTTCAGAAGCCTCTTTTTTACCGCAACATTTGTACCTTTCAAAAATAAAAAAATGACATATTCTATTCAAGAATAAACTCAAACATGGTACGGTATCTAAAATAACAAGTTATTTTCCAAGGTAACTTTTTGTACCTAATACGAAAGAATCTCAGATTTGAATTTATTTTGTAGCACGGACTTACATTGTGCATTGAGTCACATTCGCAAACAAATTGCACAATGTGAGCCACCCACCTTGGTTTAGAACATGGACCACATACATTGGTTTATAACATGGACCACATAACTTGGTTAGAACATTGACCACACACCTTGTTTTTGCACATGAACCACATACCTTGGTTTAGAACATGGACCACATAGCTTGGTTAATAACAATGACCACAATATTGGTTTAAAACATGGACCAGATACCTTTGTTTAAAACATGGACCACATACCGTGGTTTAGAACATGGACCACATAGCTTGGTTAATAACAATGACCACAATATTGGTTTAAAACATGGACCAGATACCTTGGTTTAAAACATGGACCACATACCTTGGTTTAGAACATGGACCACAGCCACACACTCGCCCACACGGACCAACTACCACATCCCCAAGATGTATTTGGAAAAGCCGGTCCGAAGGATGAAACTAAAATAAACGCATGTTTTTTTTTAATCTCTCTCTGTTACATTGTTGGAACCAGAAATATGTGAAGTAAAAACAACAATTTTCTAAGCCATCTTGAATTTGATGTTTTAAAAAAATGAACAGTTTTGTCATTAAGTTCTTCATGAACTTATTAAGTGAAACAGGTCTGTGTACAATTCGTGTCTTTTTAACTTTTTAAAAGCATAAAATGTATCTAACAGTCGTCTTTTATTCCATTGTTTCATGGGTCCCACTGTATCTTAAACTATTTATACTTTTTAATATACCTGCCTTGAGCTGTGGCTTCGGGTGGGATAAAGTGCTCTCTTTCTTATGTTTATAAACAGCCTAGATAATAATATTTCTATATCTCATCAGTGTAAATTGATTATCTCAAGTTCTGATTTCTCTATAAAATCCCACTTGAAGACTTCTGCGACAGAAAGAATGGAGGAAATTGTCAGAAATGAATAATTTTGAAGCTAAATTAACTTTTTCTTTGATAAATAGTTCTGACCTCCATATGACAATATTCTCCCATATTTAATAATAGATCTGACCTCCATTTGACAATATTCTCCCATATTTAATAATAGATCTGACCTTCATATGACAATATTCTTCCATATTTAATAATAGTTCTGACCTCCATATGACAATATTCTCCCATATTTAATAATAGTTCTGACCTCCATATGACAATATTCTCCCATATTTAATAATATATCTGACCTCCATATGACAATATTCTCCCATATTTAATAATTGATCTGACCTCCATTTGACAATATTCTCCCAGATTTAATAATAGATCTGACCTCCATTTGACAATATTCTCCCATATTTAATAATAGATCTGACCTCCATATGACAATATTCTCTCATATTTAATAATATATCTGACCTCCATATGACAATATTCTCCCATGTTTAATAATAGATCTGACCTCCATTTGACAATATTCTCCCAGATTTAATAATAGATCTGACCTCCATTTGACAATATTCTCCCATATTTAATAATATATCTGACCTCCATATGACAATATTCTCCCATATTTAATAATAGATCTGACCTCCATTTGACAATATTCTCCCATATTTAATAATAGATCTGACCTCCATATGACAATATTCTCCCATATTTAATAATAGATCTGACCTCCATATGACAATATTCTTCCATATTCAATAAATTAATCTGACCTCCATATGACAATATTCTCCCATTAGTCTAACATCCCCCTGTTGTCCACATTCTACACATACACTATCAAGGAATATTATCTAAAACAAAAATAATATTTTAGCATTATAATTAATAATATAAACTAAAGAAGTAATAACTGTTTGTCTGTCTGTTTTTGTGTAGATGTACGTCCATATCACTTATAAATCCCTGGACCGATTTGTCTCAATTTTTTGTAAAACTGGGTAGAACTACGGGAATGTTTTGAGTAATGATTAAAAATTCCAAGTTTAGTAGATTGACTGTTATTAGGGTAAACTTCAAGGAAACCTGGGTTTCCAAGTTAATAATTAACAAAAAAGGTTAAAAATATTTGTTTCTAAACTACTTAGTTATGCTGTTTTTTTTTAATATGTTTCAACTTTTTTAGTTAGGCATCCTTAGAACGAAACTTTGTGTTAGATCTCAAGCTAGGCTTAGGAGTAGCCGGAGATCTTCAGGTTGATGGGTAAATCTTCGCTGTAAAATTCATTTCAGCGTTGAAATGATGTCATTTGCAAAATTATTCTGCGATTTAAACCTTAATATATTTTCCTTTCTGTGTGTACTGCAGATTACTTCTGTACAGTACACACAGATAGTTAATTTATCCTGCACTGGATAGCAAGAACAGAATCCAGACGCTGAATTATCGGCCTAGCCGGATATTCATCACAAAAATTCGCGGCTCTGATAAATTTGTCAAAATTTGTATAAAGACGACATTCACCTGCACAGGCTTTGCAATACTGGCAATTTTTAATTGAAGAATATCTCTGATTTCATCGTCTGTCAACACATTTAATAATTCTCTAAAAAAAAACACATTTCAAATATTTTATCATTATCATTATTATTTGAGATATAACATCATAATTGAATTATTATTATATTCACGTTTGTTATGGTCATTATCATTATATTATTGGTATCATTGTCCGTTTTAATGTAAATATATATAAAACTGCTTAAAAGCTTGACATGATAATGATTATTATAATCAAGATATTGAATTCATCTATAATCCCAATAGTTTTATAGTTTGCCATATTTAAGGTGAATTGAAAGACGACCCGATATTAACCCAATGTGCAAACAATAAACTATTGACCTAATTTCAAGTGGCCTTCAATTTCAAGAGGTACAAGGTCAAAATTAAGGAGATATCCTCATTTTTTCTACTGAAAATTGTTCTTTAATTTTTTATATTGCAGTTTCTTTGAAAACTAACCTTTCGGATGTATGCAGCAGAGATAAGAAAAAATTGACCAAAACTATTTCTTTTCAACAAAAAAATAAGTATCTTTATTAGTGCTACTAAAATAAAAGTTTAACGGAAAATTCATCTATTATTGAAGGATTACGTGAAATAGCTCACGCACCTTTAAGAAAGAACTTTAGAGATAGCTATTTTTTAAACAGCGGATTAGAACAAATGAGACGATGCACAATATCAAATAATATCCAAATGTCGTCTTTCTACACCAGTTTCTACTGAGAACACCTACCTCACTGGTTTTTGTGTTTTAAGCAAATCTCGTTGTGTTTGCGAGAACGCCAGGTCAGAAAGAAATCTATATCCGACAACCTAAGTTTTTATTCCAAACATGTTTTCTACATTTTTAAATTTATTGTTTGAGTAAGAAGTAAATCTAAAATATCAATTTTATTTTTTAAATTTCATTTGAATTTGAAATTAAAGCTGTGCCTGTACTGTAAGTGCAAAAAGTGAAAACAATTTGAATAAGAAGCCATGGAAGAAATTCCATTTTTTTAAATTTAAGATTCAAATCTGAGGACAAAATTTTGTTTTCAGGTGACGCTGGTGTTAACGCTTGATCTTGATATCCACTGTGATTAACAAAGGAATTGAGTCTGATTTTCTAATCCCTATATCTTTGCAACTCAATGTTGTAGACTTTAGATTTCAAACTATGAATTATGTGAGATCAAATAATCTAAGTCTGAAATATAAAAGATTTATGCAAGAATATATGGATTTGAAAATTAGAGTTTGTGACAAAGACTCAATTCCTTTGAGGGAAATTGTGCTTTATGCCTTAATTTTCAGATATACCTGTATTGGCTTAAGTCTGGCGTCAAACATTATAGAATTCGCTAGATATAGCAACAAGGCGTATTTTCAGGGAGAATTTTTTTTTAATATTTTTGAGATATTAAATCTTATTGTAAATCATTGTATATTATAATTATCATTATCATTATTTCTATTTTTTTTACATACCCTAGGGCCTAGACACTATACACCTAACTAGATTAATATGTACATTTGTACTTGCGTGTTACTATCAAAAAAACTATTTTATGAAAATAATATGTACAGTTTTATTTTTACAAAAGAAAATACTCAAAAATATAAAAAAAGTTCTCCAGTAGTGCTAATATGATTTCTTAAATTCCGTGTTATCATCTAGATAAAAGGATTTCATGAAAATTATATCTACTTTAAACTGATTATTTAATTTCTCAAAATTATAAAAAATGTTCTCCCGGAAAATACGCCTATTGTTGCTATACAATGGATTTCTATAATGTTTGACGCCGCTTGATTAAGTTAATCCTTAGGATGAAAAAAATGACTGCTTGTTACACTGAACACAAAAGTTTTGACCTCTAATCAGATTTTATGTAAAGAACTGTTTTTGTTTAACCCTGTTTTCTACCTGAATATGCATACCGTTAGAATAATCACCTAAAGCAGCTAGAGCACCTTTTGCGTCATATCTTACATAATAACATAGTACATTTTAAACCAGAAATTCGGAGACATCGAAAGAATAAATAAAATGTTGTCTTTTTTACCTTCACCGATTATTAAGTTTTTTGAATAAAAAATTATATGCAGCTCTTCAAAACTGTTCCCGCATATTTCATGGCTATTTATTTATTTTCGAAAATACAGAGATTTACGTAAAATGGTATAAAACCCATGGAAAAATTGTCATGATGAAATTATACAATTAAACTGTATAATATTGTTTATAAATAGGATTAATTTAAAAAAGGGGTATTTTTTATTCTAAAACTTTTGAACCCTGTAAAAATGAAATAATCTTTTTTAAACAAAATGATAATTTTCCTATTTAAAAAGGAAACAAACATACCATTTGCCTCAAACTCTGATTTACTGATCCTTTGCAACCTCATGTTCTAGATATTCAATATTTCAAACTATCAATTCAGAACTTCGGAGACATCGAAAGAATTTATAAAACGTCATCTTGACAACTTTTCAATGTTTTTTCAGTGTTTGTAAAAATAAAAAATAGTCATGAAATATGCAGAAATTGTAATAAAGTAGTATATTTCGCCCCATTATGAAATATGCAGAAATTGTAATACAGTAGTATATTTCGCCCCATTATGAAATATGCAGAAATTGTACCTAGGGTTTATACTTTGCTTGACAACAATAATTACATTTTGCCAGATATCCATTTCTTTGAGTTTATTTATAAACTCGGCTTGTCTTCTTAAACTTGCATCAGTCCGTACCTAAAGACAGACCTATTTATGCACATGCAACATTTTGATAGATAATTGGCAAATGAATTGAGTCTTTGCCACACATTCCAATGTTCAAATACCTAAATCTGTGCAACCTTAGTGTAAACCATGGATATTTAAAACTTAGATTATTTGATCTAGAATTAATTGTTTGAAATATCTACGACATTGGGTTGCAAAGATATAGGGATTATAAAATCAGGGAGTTGTGGAGCAGGTAGGAGAGAGATAAGGAAGTTTGTAGGAGGCAGGGTATAAGGGATTGCTCCCTGTTTTCCTTCGTGTTATAGTCTTTCCAACTAAGGGGAATTTTAAGGAAAACCCATAGCTGCACCCCTTATGCAAAATGGGGAGTTGTAAGCTTTAAAGCCCCATTGAGAGGAATCTTCCTCTCTAGTCCAGTCCTCACAGCTGGTCGAGTAAAAAACCAGTGTCCTTGTGCATGGTTTTCATACCAATCAGGGGTTAAACTGAAGATGAAGTCTTGTTTTATTCTTTGTACATTCGCTACTCCCCTGAAGGATACAACATGTGCAACTAAACGCATCGCTCCCCCAAACTATAAAGCCGGGATTGCTAAAAGTATAATTAATAATTATTTACATCTACTTTACAGGAAAGCATAGGAATCTTGCTTTAACAAGTGTATGAGTAATTTTTCAAAAAATATTTTACTGACTGATTTTAAAATGCATTTGATAAGGATTTGATTAAGGTATAAAGAACAGTGTACTATTGTTAGGATTGGGCACCCTGATCCCGTTTTAAAACATTTAACAAAAGTTGATTTGTCCTTTGCACAAAAATGTGCGAAGTTTGACATATTTAAAATTATTAGTTCTTTCAGATTCAAAATATAGCTTAGTGTAGAGTATACAATAGTTTTCTCTTTTCTCCCATGGAAAGAAATTTCTCCCATGGAAAGAAAACTTTAATGTTTATAGAAATAATTCTATAAAACAATGCCCAATACTAATTCTGTTTAGATCACAAATCTTTTTAATTGCATTAAAAAAATTGTGATTTTTTTAAAAAGAATTTTGAAATGAATGCTTGGCTAAACTTAATTTTTCATTTTTTTTTCAAGACCTTTTTATAGATAAGGGGGGTTGGTGGAATGTATCCCCCTCATGTACCGAAAAAAATATGGGGTGAATACTGAATATACCTGGGGTGTAACACACCAAATAACAGCAAGAACGGAAGCAATATTGTTCTCATGAATATACAGCAATATCTCCCTGAAAGAAGGGAATTAAAATGCATTAAACCAGGGGCGTAAACAGAAATTTGTCCGAGAGGGCCTAATTTTTTTCTTTTATAATGGGCTTAGCACCAATTAAGGGCCTGAAAGCCCCCCTATAAACCATAGTTTTCACTGATCCTGCAGTGGGGGGGGGGGGGGGGTGAGGTTTACTCGCTGAACCCCAATAGCCTCTTTCCCTCCTATAGAAGCATCTGCACTTATCCCTCAATTTAATAGTTTTTGCAATGGATACCAAGTTTAGTCTATAAAGCTAAGTGAGCTATATCATTCAAAAGTTTGCCCTTTCTTAAAGCAAAATCTCCCTGAAGTCTCAAAACCAAGAACCTTGAGGCCCAAACTTTTGTGTTTTTAATCACTGCCCAGTCAAGGAGTAATCTGTATCTTTTGTTGTTCTATGGATAAATTTAATTCCTGTGGTCTACAGGTTGTATATTAGGGATATCTCACACAAAGTTCTTTTACTAAAATTGATGAGCTGGCCAAAATTCAACTATCCACAATGTTGTTTCATATCTTATATTTTTGAAACTGATAGGAACATCCCTGGATTGGTAGTGCTTGAAGAAACCGGTTTTACAGCAGATAAGGGTAAAGAAACTAGGTTAAAGCGGATCAGTTATGTTCGAAGTAACCGGGTTTACAGTGGAGCAGGTGTTTGAAGAAACCGGTTTAAAGCAGATCATTGGTGTTCGAAGAAACCGGTTTTACAGCAGATAAGTGTTGTTAAAGGAACCCGGTTTAACAGCAGATCAGTGGTGTTTAAAGAAATCAGTTGATATCAAATCCCTGAGGTTTGTAGAAACCCATCTTACAGTGTGGTCATTGGTGTTTGAAGAAACTGAGTATACATGTGGATCAGTGGTGTTTGAAGAAACTGTTTTTACAGCGGATCAATGGTGTTTGAAGAAACAGGTTTAAATCAAATCAGTGGTGTTTAAAGAAACCGGTTTTTCAGTGGAGCAGGTGTTTGAAGAAACTAGTTTTACAGCGGATCAGTGGTGTTCAAAGAACTGTTTTTATTGCTGACCTGAAGGTTTCTGTATCATCTTTCTGTTTATCCTCCCAACCTACAGAATAAAAGAGATTCAAATTTTGACGAATTACATAAAGTCTTTTTTTTCATAATCTAAGAACGCGAACGCGGGCTTGATCATGTTGGCAAGATTTACCGTAAACCTCTACGCCAAGGTTTGGATGTTCCATTAGCTAAAGGAACTGATAACTCGCCTCAAACTCAAATTTTCTAATCCTTATATCTGTGCAATATACCTGAGTGGATCTTCTATGTCTTAAACATAAATTCTACAATATAATAAACCTTTGCACCATGAATTAGGTTGCAAAGCTAAAGGGGTTAGAAAATTTTAGTTGGAACTAGGTGCTCATTCCTATGTTTTATAATCCTTGAGCAGGCGGAGAAGTCTTTAATTCACAGCTGAAAGAAATTGAGTTTTTGTAACAAACCCTGATTTTCTAATCTCTTTATCTTTGCAATCCAATGTCGTAGACATTAGATATTATTTCTAACTTTTAATTCTGTTGAGTGAAATAATTGAATTTTGAAATATCAAAGATCTACACCAACTGATATATGGATTATATGGATTAGACAATTTGTGGCAAAAACTTAATTCCCTTACCTACAGTATCCAACCAAGCTGAAGCTCCTTGATCCAGTAGGTTTGGATAGAGTTGGCAGTGTTTAGTCACGCTTATAGTTGAATCTGAGGTTGCAACCTAAATATCAAATCTATATTGAAGGGACAGTTCTCTCAGTTTTGGGCGGACTTTATCTTTAAAGTGCCAAAAACGATGCAATTTAGTAATCTTTAACTTTATTTAGAAATACTGCTGACAGAATAATACTGGGTTATAAAGCACCCGGCCTTTAGAATATTCACACATTTCACGAAAACCTAAGAATGTTAACTAAAGCAGAAGCAGGCACTGTTAAAATGTTCATATTCACTCTTAGAAACTTCAAATTTTCATCTTACAAAATTTGTTGGAGCACCGGCATCAAATTCACCCTAGCAGAATCATTCGTCAAATTAATTTTGTTGAATGAATTTGATGCCGGTGCTCCAACAAATTTTGTTAGATAAAATTTTTATATTTCTTACTGTGTTCAGGATTAAAAGGTTCTTTCTGGGAATTGGGATACCCTCGTTTAAAACTCTTTTTTTATAACTCTTGAGTCATTTATATATAATTTGCTTGAATACTCTGTATCATAAATTTATTGGAACACTCTGTACCTGGTTTCCTGTGAATATTGCAATTGTAGAACTTTTGCCTGATCCTGTTGATCCTACACAGATTATACAGGAGTCCTTTATAATAATAATATAATATCCTACACAGATTATACAGGAGTCCTTTATAATAATAATATAATATCCTACACAGATTATACAGGAGTCCTTTATAATAATAATATAATATCCTACACAGATTATACAGGAGTCCTTTATAATAATAATATAATATCCTACACAGATTAGACAGGAGTCCTTTATAATAATAATAATATAATATCCTACAGAGATTATACAGGAGTCCTTTTTAATAATAATATAATATCCTACACAGATTATACAGGAGTCCTTTTCAATAATAATATAATATCCTACACAGATTATACAGGAGTCCTTTATAATAATAATATAATATCCTACACAGATTATACAGGAGTCCTTTATAATAATAATATAATATCCTACACAGATTATACAGGAGTCCTTTTTAATAATAATATAATACCCTACACAGATTATACAGGAGTCCTTTTTAATAATAATATAATATCCTACACAGATTATACAGGAGTCCTTTATAATAATAATATAATATCCTACACAGATTATACAGGAGTCCTTTATAATAATAATATAATATCCTACACAGATTATACAGAAGTCCTTTATAATAATAATATAATCCCAAAATGAAGAATTACAACAAACAAAGTTTCATTTAAAAACTTTGAAGTCTGACAAGATTTTGAAAATTTGTTTCAAAACCTTAAAAATCAACCTTGTACTTTGGATTAATCTAGCAGGGACCTTATTAAATGAATTTTAGCTAGGTCGTTGAAGTATCTACCGACGGTTCAAATCTTGGATCACCAATTCAAAATTAAGGATTCATTGGGGATTAATGATTTGAACCGGTGTTAGATAGTTCAGCGACCTCCTTAATTTTCTAAATCTGGCCCCGGCTTTGTAGAGTAATGAAAATATTTTAGAATTTATGCAAAAAATAGTACAATATTCTTTTTAAAAAAAACTTATATATTTCGTGTTTGGTGGTAAAAAACATTGTACAATATACATGTTTTCTTTTGATTATGAATTATTATTTCTAATTTTTCATTTGATATTGGTATTATTTCCTTTCTATTATAGGGAAACCAAGATGTACTCCGAACTTGAAGGAACGGAGACACGTCGGAGACCCCCAATCCGGCCATTTTTATTCTCAATCAACCAGATTTTTAAACTGCCATTTTAATATTCATTTCTGAAATAAAACAGAAATTGAGATTGTTATGATGTCATTTTTAAATTGAAAAAGCAATGCAATGTGATTATTGTAAAATATTTTATATTTATAGACTTACGCTCTTTTTACAAAAAAGTATATCAAAAATTTTAAAAAAGCTCAATATTTTTGAAAAATTTAAGCAAAAACAACTTTCTGTCTGTGTTACATCATAAACTCTATTTTATTTTTGGGGATCGACCCCTTTAAGATTAATTTTGCAGTTCAAATAAAAAATTGTAGTTTAAACAATATTCATAAAATAATAATATATTCAGAATAATTAGAAGTATTAAACAAGCAAACATTTGTTCTACTTTTCTAACATGTAATTCAATACTTAGATTTATCTCTGCAGAAATTTGTAAACCACAGAGGAAAAGAATATTTGGAGGAAATATAAAATATAAAAGATAGTCTTTTCATATCTGACATGAAAATCTTTTCTAAAACTTCTTTTCTGAGTTTCTATTTGAGGTTGTCTAGAGGGATAAAATATAATCAGACTATTATTAGGTTTTAATTATCCTTTGCTTATACCTTTCTCATTGCCTATCTGTGTACCCGTCTACCTGTCTGCATGTCTGCCTGTCTGCCTGTCTGCCTGTCTGCCATTCTACCTGTCTACCTGTCTACCTGTCTACCTGTCTACCTGTCTACCTGTCTACCTGTCTACCTGTCTACCTGTTTACCTGTCTACCTGTCTGCCTGTCTGCCTGTCTGCCTGTCTGCCTGTCTATCTGTCTACCTGTCTACCTGTCTACCTGTCTACCTGTCTACCTGTCTACCTGTCTATCTGTCTACCTGTCTACCTGTCTACCTGTCTACCTTTCTGCCTGTCTACCTGTCTACATGTCTACCTGTCTACCTGTCTATCTGTTTACCTGTCCACCTGTCTACATGTCTACCTGTCTACCTGTATACCTGTATACCTGTCCACCTATTTATTTTTCTTATGTCTACCTGTCTTTCTGTCTATTTTTCTATCTGTTTACATGTCTACCAGTCTTTTGTTCAATGTCTACCTTTCTAACTTTCTATTAGTCTATCTGCATGCCTGTCTACTGTTTATCTGTCAATCTTCCACTTGACTACCTGTCTTAGCTAACTACTTGTCTATTTTCCCAGTGTCTATCTGTTTATTTATCAAGTGTCTAACTGTCTACCTGTCTTCCTGTATTTTTTTCCGGTGTCTACATTTCTTCTTGTTCATTTTAGCACTTTTTCACAACAGTAAATTTTTAAAGGAGTTGCTCGTTCCTGTCAAAGCGGATGCATTAAAAAGAGGCGCAAAATGCTAAATTTCCATATTTACGATATTAACAAAATTAAAATAAGTGCACTCACTTAGCGCAGATTACTAAGAATAATCTTATTTATATCCTGGAAGTAAACTCTACACTTGTTCGTTCCTTGACTACCCTGGACCAGGCTCAGGTGAAGCAGTTCTACCAGGGTTCAATATTCTCCGAATCCATGTCGGAGAACTCTAATCATGATCTGTGTTTCTCCGGCGTTTGGTTTATGATCAATTTCAAATACTCTACCAGTTCGGGTTGGAAATTGATCTTCGATCCCAGGGCGTGATCAAAACTGATCACCAATCCAGGTTAGAACAATTCAATTCAAGATTAAGATTTTTCTTCTATTAGGTTTCAAAATCTTTATAGATTGTAAGTATTTCACTTCTTCATTTCTTTGTATAAACTAGTAGTTTTATTGTAAAAATACGCGGGGTCATTAAGAAAAAATTTTAAATTAAGAAAAAAACAGCATTTGAATGTTGTTAAATAGATTTTTGGGACATCCTAAAGGATTGAATTATTCTAAAGATTGAAAATGAAAAAAAAACTTGGCATGCAGAAAATACCGGTTTCAGCATTTTTTTGGCGTTAAAGTTTTGAGATAATTTGTTAATTATTGAGGGTCACCCTGTATATACTGATGATAAAAATGTTAAAGTTTCTTTTCCTGGATCAGGTTTCATTAGTGAATGAAAAACTTAACTACTCACTAAGTCTCAACTGAAATTAAAGAATTTAATTACATTTTATTACATGAAAAATTCTAAAACTACCCTCCTTATAATTTTAAATACAAATCATTCTAACAACACGTTTAAAGGGAGTGACCGGCGTTGTATAGTGGTTAAACTGAATATGCAATATTGTGGACAAATTTTTAAAGATTTATTTGAGACATATAAAATGTTTCTACGACGTATATTTACTGAGTTTGAGCGCAAGGTAATTTTCAAAATCATGAATTTCGGTAGGTACGTTTTAAGAATCGGTTTTTTTAAATTATCAAATAACGAGGACAAAAAATGTAAACAAAATTCTACAGAAACTAATTAGTTGTTTAGGAACCGGCCGAGAAAATAAAAATTAAATTTATCATCGAAAATAAGTAACTTTATTCAATTATTAGTTTATATAATCTTTTATTATTCAAAAAGATTTTCTGCAGATTTTCTGGAATTTTTTTTGAAAAGACGACATTGGAAGAATTTGTAGAAATCTGCGAACAAATTCATAAAAAATAAGAAATTCAATATAATAATGAAAACAAAATAATTGATTCTAACATTGATTTATTGACAAATTTCTGTTGAGAAATTAAATCTATTTAGTTTACTGTATAATTTTTACTTTATTTTTCGTCGTCGCTATTTAATAATTAAAGAAAAAATCGATGCTAAAAAGTATCCACCCAAATTCATAATTTTGAACGTCGACTTTGCACTCAAACTCAGTAATTATACATCGTGGAAACGTTTTATATGTCTCAAATGAATTCTAAAAAGATTTTCTACAATACTGCATACTCAGTTCAACCACCATACATTGCCGGTCACTCCCTTTAAGGGGACTTCCGTTTTAATTTCTAGTGACCCTTTATTTAACTTAACTTCCAAGCTGGTTTCACAACGGTACTATACGATCTCAAATTTATTTGGAACTTTTTTAGGACAAAACCCTACAAATACTTATAAGATAAGGATAAAAACTTTCAAAGCTTTGATTATATTTCTTCCAGAAACTGCAATACACATTGTTTCATGGAAGTTACATTTTAATTCCTTGGTACATTTTATACTATTTTATCTTTATAGAGTATTATAATATAAAAAACTAACAAGTGGACCTAAAACTATCTATGATATTGTATACTGGTTAAATTTGACTGGTTTGTGTATATTGAATATCCAAGGAGTCACCTACCGGCTTTCTACACTTTGAAATTATATATGCAAAAAGAATCTAAAAATACAAACCATTAAAAAATAATCCTGGTGCTTAACAACAATAAAAACAATGGGATGAAGACAACTTTAAGGAATCAATCCATTTTTTCTTACATTCATGGTTTTTTTGTTGTCGCTAAAACATTGATTGTCCTTCTCAAAGTCAAATGTAAAGAGGAAAGAGAAGAAAGGGGGGAGAGTCAAAGGTAAAGAGGAAAGAGAAGGAAAGGAGGAGAGTTAAAGGTAAAGAGGAAAGAGAAGGAAAGGAGGAGAGTAGAGTTAAAGGTAAAGAGGAAAGAGAAGGAAAGGAGGAGAGTTAAAGGTAAAGAGGAAAGAGAAGGAAAGGAGGAGAGTTAAAGGTAAAGAGGAAAGAGAAGGAAAGGAGGAGAGTTAAAGGTATAGAGGAAAGAGAAGGAAGGGAAAAGAGTCAAAGAAGAAAGAAAATGAAGGGAGGAAAGTCAAATGTAAAGAGGAAAGGGAAGGAAAGGAGGAAAGTCAAATGTAAAGGGGAAAGGGAAGGATATGAGGAGAGTCAAAGGTAAAGAGGAAAGAGAAGGAAGAGAAGAGAGTTAAAGGTAAAGAGGAAAGAAAAGGAAGGGAGGAGAGTTAAAGGTAAAGAGGAAAGGGAAGGAAGGGGTAGAGTTAGAGGTAAAGAGGAAAGGAAAGGAAGGGGGAGAGATTGAGGTAAAGAGGAAAGGGAAGGAAGGGAGGAGAGTTAAAGATAAAGAGGAAAGGAAAGGAAGGTAGGAGAGTTAAAGGTAAAGAGGAAAGAAAATTCGGGAGGAAAGTCAAAGGGTAAGAGGGGGGGTGGGATATTAGATGAGAAAAAGCAAAGGGGAAGAAAATATAACGTAAAGGGGAAGGAGAATGACGGGGGGGGGGGGAGGGAGTCAACGGAAAGTGTAAAGGAGAGGAGTAAGAGGGGGAATTGGTTGAAAAACAGTTGAAAATTGTGGTTCTAGGAGAAAGTTTGGATTGACAAGAGGATGGATTGGTTACAATGTGTTCAATGGTCAACCTTGTCTACCGTTTCCGGTACCCGGAGCTAGAACTGAACCTGAACCTAACCAGGATACTTTTCATCTACATATGAATAAAATCTTATAAGAAGATTGGTGCGTTTTTATTGATATATCATTGGGTTTAGACATTTTGAAATTCAAGTCTAAGTTTAATTAATTGATTATCCAAATATTAAAAAATTAATTGTCTTTTAAAAAAGTTTAAAGTTAAATTTAAAGAAATTCAAACTTAAAATTTTTCCTAATTTATTTTTTATTTTATAATGGATTGATTTTTAGATTTTAAAAAGTTACATTATGATCAAGGTTTTCACAAATATATTTTTGTACAAAGTATATAGAACTCTAAGTTTATTAAAACCGTCTGGGTTAAGATAATTTTCATTAGAAAACATTATTTTTTCTTATTTTCATTGGATAGAAAATTTCATTATTGAACTCAATTACATATTTGTAAGTTGACTAAAGCTTGATTTATAATGTAGGAAGCCAGTGAAAAGGGGTTTAGACACCCTATAGATTAGATTAATAGCAGGGGTGCGTCATTTTCACCCAATTTCATTCATTTAAAAAAAAAAAACTCTATCAATGTGAAATATGGTCCTTACTTCACTATATAATATACCTAGTACCTCTCCCTCCCCCCCTCTTCCTACATTTTTTACCCTC